TGGGCACCCTGTGCCAGCGCCTCAGCACCCTCACAGGGAAGAGCTTCTGCCTCAGAGCTCAGCTCAATCTCCCCTCTGGCAGGTTCAAGCCATTCCCCTTGTCCTGTCCCTACATCCCTTACAGAGATTTTCCTTGCAGGCAATTGGGTGTCCTGTAAACATGTGACATTCCGTGATTCTTTCCATCACTTATGGGTCCAGAGGGCAGCCGGTGGGACTGCTGATAACTGCTGCTGTACTCTGACACAGCACCATGGCTGGGGGGGGGGTTTGCCCTGGGCGGGCGGGGTGGGTCTTTGCCCTGCGCTGCCGATGGGCTCGGCTCCTGCTGCCCTGCCCAGGGAATCTCATCCACGGGAGCTGGAACGCACAGGACAGCCTCGGCTCCTCCAGCCAAGCCTGTGCCGTGTGTGCACTGTAAATACCAGAGGTGGATCCAGCGTGAGCGACTCCGGGCCGTGTGTGGAGGCAGGGGGTGACCTCCTTGTGCTGTGACTTCAACCCAGCAGATTTACGAGCGGGCAGGGCCGGGCCGACGCCGGTGTTGGCTTTCCCCAGATAAGAACACATGTTTTGGCCTCTGTGCCAAAGCCCTCAGGGGGAGATGTTTCCTTGAGCTCAGCACCAAACCTTTCCCTTTTGTAAGGGATGTTCTGAAGTATCACCCAAGAGCATTCATGGAAACCCATGTGCTGCTGCTGTCACGCTGGGATGCTCCAGGCTGGTCCGTGCTGCCTCAAAGTGCTTCCAGCGGCTGCTGGGGCTGGCACAGGAGGGAGGTGAGGAGGGACTCGCGGAGGAGAAAGGGCCTTCCTCATCCTGTGCTCATCGGAGGTGCCTGTGCTTGTCCCTGGCAGTTCTTTGGGACCTGGGTGTGGATCCTCGTCGCTGCGACCTCTGTCTCCTTCCCGCTGCTGCAGGGATGGGTGATGTACGTGTCCCTCACCTCCTCCCTCATCTCCCTGCTGCTGCTCTTGAGCTACCTCTTTGGCTTACACAGAAACAGCGAGAACTGGAAAGTGCTGGTAAGGAGGGGCTGGGACAGAGCCTGTCCTCAGGGTGGATGGGAGAAGGATGGTCCCAGGCTTTCATCCTCGCTGCTCCCCTGCTTTGTAGGACAGTCTGTACCACGGTGCCACGGCCATTCTGTACCTGAGCGCTGCTGTCCTGCAAGCCAACGCCACCATCCGCTCTGAGTCTGGCCCCAACTCACCCCTTTACTACCATCTCAACAGTGCTGCATCGGTGAGTGAGGCAGAGCACCCCTTGGGGCAGGAGGGACACCCCTGGGGGAGATGCAAGAGCAAGTACTGACGCCAAAGCAGAGCCATCCCAAGCCCATCACCCTGGTCAGAGCTTCAGCTCCTCCTCTCTGCTGTGTCGTGCAGCCAGCGCAGGCTCCTCAGGGTCCAGCAGCCCATGGAAACGTGGGGCTTTGCCTCTTTGAGGCTGGAGAGAGCTCTAGGCTTTGAGGCTTCCTGAGGTTGAGAGCACCGAGAGGAGATGGGGTTAGACTCTCCCAGCTGATGCTCTTCTTCCTCTCATGCAGTTATTCGCCTTCATCACAACCTTCCTGTACATCCTCCACGCCTTCAGCATCTACTACCAGTGAGCCCGGCAGCACCAGCTTCACCTCTGCAGGACGAGGGCTCCTTCACAGCACGAGGGATGCAGCCGTTGTCCACCAAGGTGTCCCTGTCACCCGCTGTGGGACAGCCGTAACCTCCTCCCTTCATGGAAGGAGGGATTTGTGTACAGCAGAGTCATGTTGGTGTGCTCGTGGGGACATTCCGTGCCTTGCCCGTGGGCTGTGCCAGGCAGCAGGCTCCGAGCCAGCCTCCCGCTCCAACCTTCTGCCAAATAGAGACAACCAAGGAAAGGAAAAAGCAAATCACTGTTCCTTCAGCAAACAATGTCTTTTCTTATATTATTTTCCTGTCTCTGGTGCAGTTAGATCACTCCCTAAGCCATAAATCCATAACAATAATACTGTGTTCCTTGATTCCTGGTAATTTCATTTGGCATATGCAATACTTGGAATAAAGTGTCTACCACCAGTGTCTGACCAAAGAGATTTTCACCACTCTAAGCTGTGTCCATTGAACAGGCCAGTATCACTCCATAAAGCAAACAGATTTTGACCACTTCATAAGCTGTGTTCATTGAACAAGCCCATTTTACTCCGTAAGAGTTAAAATCTTCCTTTCAAAACCCAGAAAGTGTTCACTGACTTAGAAAGCTTTGTCAGACTTTGTAAACAAGTAAATCCTAGAACTTCTAACAAAGTCCTAGATGCAAAACTACAGCGTGGAAAGAGTTATTACTACTTCATTTACAGCGGTTCTTCTCCAGTGCCTACTAGTTGCCATTACAAACTCTACAGCCAGAGTCTGGCTGCACCATCACCTAGTCCCAGTGGCACAAGTGTCCCTCCTCTCTGCATCTTCAGCGGTGGGGTGACTGGTGGCAGCTCCCTCCTCTCTCTGCCCCAGGTAATCCTCTGCTTCTGGGATGCCGTTGACTCGCAGCACATCCAGGTAGAGCAGGTAGTCCTGGAGACAAGCTGGCAGTGGCAATTCCCGGATGAAGTGGTCCGATCGCAGGCGCTCGCTCCTTAGGATGGCCCGGATCTCGAGACGGCAGAGGTGGGACAGGGGAGGAATGGAGGCTGGAAAATCAGAACCAGGGCAGACACTGAGCAGGACGCTGTGGGATCATGTTGTTTGCCTGTGGTTACCTGGTTGAGCTGGATCCCATCTGAACCCCCGCTCTGTGGCAGATAAAAGGGCTGCTGATGCTAGAATCAGCATTTCCAGAGTGTTGCTATACTTGCTGTATTACCTTAAACTTCTAGAAACAAAACATCAAGGAATCATTTTATCCTTACAGTTTCATCTAACCAGCCTACAACAGTTACCTGCCTGGGAAACCCGCGTGCCACCTCACAAGTAAAGGAAAATCAAGTCTAGAAGCAAATCCAACAACAAAAATAACACAGGGGAAAACAGTTTTAGGGTAAGTTATTAAATGACAGCATAAGCCAGTTGCTGTATGATGCCAAATGTTCCAAGAAGTTGCTAAATAACTTGAGTCAAAAAGATACACAAATATGTCTGTAAATGTGCACTGCTCAAACACAAGCTTTCCTATTATCATAACATCACAGACTGGTTTGTGTTGGGAGGGACCTCAAAGCTCATCCAGCTCCAACCCCTGCCCTGGGCAGGGACACCTTCCACTAGAGCAGGTTGCTCCAAGCCCCTGTGTCCAACTTGGCCTTGAACACTGCCAGGGATGGGGCAGCCACAGCTTCTCTGGGCAACATGTTCCAGTAAATAGATCAACTTGTCCCAGTACAGAATTCCAGTGCCTCCAAACCCTTGGAGCAACCTGCTCTAGTGGAAGGTGTCCCTGCTTGTGACAGGGTAAGTGTTAAGGTCTCTTCCAACCCAAACCAGTCTATGATTCCATGATATTGTCTAGGAAATTCAGCTAAGTAATACTGATCTTCTCCCTTAAATCTTCCAAGAGGCTGAACAACCCATGTCAGGAAGGCTCAGTACTGATTGATTCACAGTCACTACCCCTATTTTATAGCACATGCATTCACTTGAAGAGGGCAGGATGGCCTAAGCTGACAATATTCTACCTGAAACATGCTAACTAGGAATTGAACAACATACTGAGGACAACCTGTTCAGCTTGTTTAGGGGACCTGCTATTTCTGCTCCCCAGTTTTCAGACAAGCAATGCCTGTTGACCATGGAACCTCCTTTGCCATGGTGCATTAGCACACAGAGCCGATTCCCTCTCACAGCCTGGAAGCTGGGACACACAGACTGGTCTTCCCTCCCTGTACTCACCAAAGTGGTTGTTTGGAGTCCAAGTGAATGTCTCCTTGTATTCTGAGAGGTCTTGCTCCACAGCTGGAGGAAGTCTCTTCCAGTTGGTGAACTCCAGGGTGAAATTAAGGGCATTATCTCCCACAGATAAAATCCTGCATAACAAAAAACCCCGTAAAAGATCATTTTACACAACTGCATAAATATAATAATGGCAATAACACATAGAAAGGAAATAACCTTCATGCTAAGCCCAGAAACAGAAAACCATTGAAGAGAAGTCTAAGTAACAGCACAAGCATTTGCTAATGTAATTCTATCTTCATTTCTTTTCAGAAGTAAGACTGTAAGAGAAAAAGAAGTACTATAAGATTTAAATGCCTCAGTAAGAGGCAGCATTCTCCTCTGCACTGATTTCTCACTCTGTTTCCACCTGTATGTTAATGAGGGGTGCAGACACCACAGCATTCTAAGCATTACCATTACACTGGGGGGAAAAAATGCACATATATTCAGATACTGGTTTATTAAGGCAAACCCCCACAAAATGTGCAGGTATTTCAAACTCTCCTTCTACCAAAGATTGCTTTTATATGTATTCAGAAAACAGCATGATTACATTTCAAATCTTTAGCATGTGTGAAGAACTTTTAACTACAACTTAATTGATAAAGCACATAAGAAGGTTTAAGGAAGAGGAGGTGAAACAAGTGGTTTACATTATGTGTGATGAAGAGCCACAGCTCCTCGTCTGGCCTTGTACAATCCAGTTCATCTGAATGGAAATCTAAACGCTCTGAACACACAAAAATACCAGACTAAACCCTTTTAACACACTTGTTTTTTCCAGCAGGTTCATGTCAAAATTATGTCGTGTCCTTTCTAGCTGGTATTATTTCATTTTTCATACATTCACTGGAGCCCTGCAGGAGAGATCTGGCTGCCTGGCTGGCTTTAAGAGAAAGGTGGTTTCACTACTCCACTGGTGATCAAAGCTGGCAGTGCTCTGGAGTGAGCAGCTTAACACTGATCCCATTATTATGGTTAATTATGTTTATATTGAGCAGTTTATGATTCTTCCCTGGGAGGGTGCTGAGGCGCTGGCACAGGGTGCCCAGAGAAGCTGTGGCTGCCCCATCCCTGGCAGTGTTCAAGGCCAGGTTGGACACAGGGGCTTGGAGCAACCTGCTCTGGTGGAAGGTGTCCCTGCCCGTGGCAGGGGTTGGAGCTGGAGGAGCTTTAAGGTCCCTTCAAACCAAACCAGGCTGGGATTATACACACCCAACGAGCCAGTGACAGCTAATGAACCATACCCAGAAATGTCACTTGCTGTCTGCTGTCCTCCTGTTATCCTCCTGGACACATCATATATGATGTACATGGGCAGTGAGAGCTGTTCAGTCACTGAACTGCAATCTTGCAGTGCCTGGACTTTCACACTCACTCCTATGAATAAATCTGATGTACAGAAGCACAGACATGCCCTGCTGTAGATCTGCTCCTCTAATTACTGGTCAGGAAACCCCAGATGCTAATGATTAACAGATTCTCACTAAGTCATTTATGACGGGATTCAAAACTACCACGATATCTTGGCAGTACCTGAAATACAAATCAATATTTGAGTAAACCTGAAATTCCTCCTCCTTTCAGCCAGCTAGGTACTGCATGTCACGAGTTTATACACCTCACATCATGTTAACAGCTGAGACATATGGTAGTAAAGTCCCAGCATTACCTTCATGGACAAGAAGAGACCAGAAGAAAACACTAATACTTTTTAAGTGTACATTTCATTCTGTAGTGTCTGATTAAGTATAAAACATCACCAAGAAGTTATTTTTATGTGGAAAAACTTCAACACCCCAGTGACAAATACTTAGACCAGCATTTGTGCCACATGACTTTGTTCAACACAATCTCTAACTGCATCCATTTCCTCTCTTCTCAGCCTCAGCCCAGCTTCATTGTACATTTGTTTCCCTCCTCTCCTGGCCTCCTCTTTGGTATTTGAAATTCTTCTTACCACCACCATGTTACACAACTAAATTTGGGGGCTAATAAGAGATGGTTGATATAAAAATTAGGAAATCATGCTTCCCCCCATGGTAGTGATGAAGCAACCTCCATTCTGGCTTTCTGCCTAACAGAAATGTGTTTTATTGAATCCAGCCATTACCCATGAATGATTTATTCCAGACTTCCCAGAACCCTCCCCACTCCTGATGACGGCAACTGATTATCAAGTGCTATCCTATGAAACACACACTGGCAACAGCTTCGTGGATTAACATACAATGGTTAAGTCAACAAGATAACTTTATCTGCTTACCAGAGTCTGTGCATTAAATTCACTGGGTCAAAACCAGCCAGGAGCAGATAAGGCAGCCACTGCTTGTATGCCTCTTGGGCTTGAATTGTGTAGCTCAGGAAGTCCCAGAGCTGGTCCCCAGAAGGCAGCAAACAGCCCAGCTTCAAGAAGCGTTGGAACAAAGCAAACTTCTCATGGTACAGGCAATAGCCCAGGTTAATGCCCAGTAAAGTGATCCCGTATTTCAGGAAAGTATCAATGAAATAGAAATACCTACAAAGAGTACACAAGGAACAGGACAGCCTCTTAGTTTTCTTCCTCAGGGAAGCATCCCCCATTTCACTACTTCTGAGAAAGCAACTTTCCTCCTACCAAAAATCCTGCCAGAGCAAGGAAAAGGGAATGGCTTTAACCTGCCAGAGGAGAGACTGAGATGAGCTCTGAGGCAGAAGCTCTTCCCTGTGAGGGTGCTGAGGCGCTGGCACAGGGTGCCCAGAGAAGCTGTGGCTGCCCCATCCCTGGCAGTGTTCAAGGCCAGGCTGGACACAGGGGCTTGGAGCAACCTGCTCTAGTGGAAGGTGTCCCTGCCCATGGCAGGGGTTGGAACTGGAGGAGCTTTAAGGTCCCTTCAACCCAAACCAGGCTGGGGTTCTATTAATAGAACCCCCCCCAAAGTCCCCAGTTACTGGTATGAGGGGTACCAGCACCCTGCTGCTCTGCCACAGCTTGGCCATCAGGTTCCACCTTAATAATATGCCATAGGTAATAGATGGACAAATAGGTGAAAATAGCAGATAACTGCACCCCAGAACTTGGGGACCAAACTAATGTTCCAAGTTAAGGGTTCCATTTACATCCAGATGGATTTGCAGGAAGCTCTGCTATTATTTTGTCATTCCCAATTAGAACATGGCAATATGATGGTGAATGAATAGTACTGTTATGGCACTGTAGATTGATGGCATGTATTTGGTGAAGTTTAAAACTTTTCCTAAGCCAACTGCAAGAATGTGTAATCCTATTATTCAAGTGTCAGCATTTTGGCTAAAAAAGTTCACAGGTGATGAACTTCTGGCAACAAAGAACTGTTAAAATATTGCATATTTGGATTTTTCTTCCTTAGCCAAAGGGAATTGGAACAGGTCCCATGTGGAAGGCAAAGAGGCAAGAATGAGAAACTGAAATTGTAATGCCCAAATGTAAGGCAGCTCCAAAGAGTGACCAATCTGCATGTGCTGGATAAATTGCCTTTTAATGGGGAGGAACTACACTCACCACTACCAAAACCTCAGTCATTTAAATGGCAGCACATAAACCATAAAGTTTGATCCATGTACATGAACTATTCTATCTGAATGTGAGTTTTATGAAGACTTAAAAGCCTTTATTGAAGATATTTTCCTTAATGCAGCACAGTTGCTACATAACATTGCTTTGCATTAGTATTCCCAAGGAGGAGTGTCTGCAAAGGGTGAACTAACTGAAAATGTGGCAAAATACTACAAGATAGACAGCAACCAGCTGAAACATCTGCCCTGCTCGGAAGTGTAAAGCAGTATCAGGTAACTGCTCTCTTAATCAAAATGTAAACCACAATGACATTACAGCTCCTTCCGAAGCTCAGAAGCACCAAGAGGTGACTGAGATTTGATTCTCTGCCTTGATCACAGAATCAACCAGGTTGGAAAAGCCCTTTCAGCTCATCCAGTCCAACCATTCCCAGCAGTGCCAAGGCCACCACTAACCCCTGGCACTGAGGCCTCGGCTCCACGGGCTGTGAACACTTGCAGGGACGGTGACTCCAGCCCTGCCCTGGGCAGCCTGTTCCAGTGCCTGAGCACCCTCTGGGCAAGGAATTGTTCCTCAGCTCCAGCTAAACCTGCCCTGGGGCAGCTTGAGGCCGGTTCCTCTTGTCCCATCCCTTGTTCCTTGGGAGCAGAGACCAGCCCCCTCCTGGCTCCATCCTCCTGTCAGGCAGTTGCAGAGAGCGATCAGGTCCCCCCTGATCCCTCTATTCTCCACACTAAACCCCCCAGGTCCCTCAGCCCTTCCTCATCACACTTGTGCTCCAGGCCCTGCACCAGCTCTGGTGCCAGCTTTTCAACTGTGCCAATATTCAAGCCTTGGAATAAGTTTAGATACTGAGTTAGTTTGGGAGGAGCACAGGGCGAGCTTGGGGACAGCAACATCCAGATCTTTTACAGTAATAGCTCACTCCTCCACAACCTGATTTCCCACAGAAAAAGGAAGAAGAAACTTCTGTAGTAAAGGAAAACAAATCAACAATAAGGGCATGTAGAGCACCTCGCTGGCACACCACATACGTACACTGAGGAGTAAGGCTTGTATACCTTATTTCTCCCCCAAAATTACAGCCTTTGCATCATGAAGCAAGCATTGCTTTATTCGCTGTTCAACACCAGGGCTGTGCATCACTCAGCAGGCATAAAAAGAAATGGGTCATGATCTAAAAGAACACGTCATCCAGTTTCACAGTCCTCCTTACTCTAGTGTTGACCTGATTAATTCAGCCTGTTTTATGCACGAGATGGGCACACAGAAAAGGAAAACACTATTTTCCAGTCACTCATCCTTACTGAAAAGCATCTGCCTACTCAAGAGTCCTCTGGATCCAATTACTAAGTCATGTTTCCAGAAGACAGAGAGGTGTTGACAAAGCCTTCTGAAACAGGAAAACTGCAAGTATGTTCTACAAGACTCTGTTCTTCCAAGAGCTGAGCTTCCCCTCAGGGATTCCAGTGAGGTTCTTCAGCTCCTGCATTGAATCCAAACCCCATTCACCATTCAGATACTCACAGCTCAAGAACTGAGGAAGGGGGGAAGGCAAATGGCACATTGGAAAAAGAAGGTACAAAGGCCAACATAGTTACAAATAGAAGAGGTGTACTTACTTCTTCTGGAAGACCATACACATGGGTGACCTGCAGTCGAAGTTAAGGCACTCCTGAGCATCTGGACTGTAGCCTTCTCTGAGTAACATCTCCAAGCATTCCTTATTACCACCATACACTGCTGAATACACAGGGCTCACTTTGCCTTTGCCTTTGTCACAAATCCGATCAGTAACTGGGATTAGTAACTCTAGTATCCTGAAAATATTTAAAAGCACTATTTATTGTGTGGCCTTATGCAGTGATTCATTTTTTAATTGTATGGTTGATTTTCACATGGTCATTACAACTCAAGAAGAAAATCCTACCTGTTTGTTACATACTGAATTCCATTAAAGAACAACCTTTGGCATTTCACACACAGATCCACAAACTGTGCTTTGGCATGGATTTAGGCTGGCAATAAGTATTTTAAACCAGGGACAGATTATCTCCTATTATCCAACAGTCCTTTTTACAGCAATAGAGCTCCACTGCACACTAAATCTAGACTTCCATGAAGTCTGGAAGAAAACTGGATGTGGGACTTGAAAATAAAATGTATATTTACTTCTGTTCAACACTGAGATACTGAAACAGAGAAACAGTTCGGTTTCACAGCTTGCACCTCTGGTCTGCATCCTTCCCAGCTAACAAGGATTAGTGACAAACACCAGTTCCTTTGCTTCTGTAACTCGGTGATGCTGCAACTCAGTGATGCTGCTCAGAGGCTGCCACTTACATCTTACTGTAAAAGCTACAAAGGCAGCATTTGATTTAAAGACATTGCTGGTAGTGGCAACTTTGCTAACCCAGCTTCTGTTTCTGAGCAAATGGACAAACCCAGCTTCCTCAGCCTGCTACAGGCTGCCCTCCTCCTCAGTTTGAGGAAAGGCACGCATTCAATGTACAAACTTCAGTGACAGCTCAGCTGATGAGCTCCTCTTGCCAGGGGTTGAGATAAAGCATTTACTAACAATTTTGCAGTTACTATCACCATTAAGATATTTAAGTTTGAACAGGGGAGATTAAGGTTGGATACAAGGCAGAAGTTCCTCCCTGTGAGGGTGCTGAGGCGCTGGCACAGGGTGCCCAGAGAAGCTGTGGCTGCCCCGTCCCTGGCAGTGTTCAAGGCCAGGTTGGACACAGGGGCTTGGAGCAACCTGCTCTAGTGGAAGGTGTCCCTGCCCGGGGCAGGGGTTGGAGCTGGAGGAGCTTTAAGCTCCCTTCCAAAGCAGTCTGGGGTTCTGTGATTCTATGAAGCACTGTCACATATGCACAAATCAGAGGGTTCCCAAGAGATGCTTCTCCCAACTCCAAGAACCTCCTTCCACTTCTGCCTTTCTGCTCCGAAAGTGTCACTGGGACTGGGCAAAGCTACACATGCATTTCTGGAAGGATCAAAGGAAATCTTTTGCGCCTTGCTTTTCTGGCTGGTTCACCTCATTATTTGCATATTATTACTTCTGCTAGTTAATGGTTAGGAACAGAATTCTAATTAGCAGCTGTTCAAGGCAGGTATAAAGCATGTTATTGTTATTTATATTTCAAAATGAATTCTAATGTAATCAAAATGTAATTTAAAATAGCTAGTGAGTTAATTGATATTGGTTCAGCACTGTGGAAACCACTTTCAGCTCATCAAGAAATGGATCAGACCCAGCTCAGATGCTGAATTTCAAACAGTTGGTCAATTTACTGGGACTACAAACAGACATTTAAGATCCAAATACAATCAGGAATTATAAACTAGGAATTATAAACTAATTATCAACTAGAACTCATTTTTCTTTCTTTTAGAGCTGAATTTCTTTTTTCTCTCTTAGGTTTTCATTGCCAGACTCTTCTATCTTAATGTCCCTTTCACCACCTACTTGTCATGGCCCATTTCAGCAGCTGCATGAATAGGTAACTGCCAGTTATCCTCATTGCAGTAGAGGTTTGGGTCTGCCCCGTTGGCTAACAGCAGCTCCACACACCCAAGGTGGCCCTCCTGGGCAGCAATCAGCAGTGGAGTGGCTCTGTCCTTGGCTTGACAGTTTACCTCTGCACCTGAGAAAAAAGCCAGTACTTTAAATCACCTCCACAGGACACAGAATAAACAACAAATGAGTTGGTTTTCACAGACCCACTTCACAGCACCAGAGCTTTTTCACAGCGTTAAGGAATCACAGAACCCCAGACTGGTTTGGGTTGGAAAGCTCAAAGCTCCTCCAGTCCCAACCCCTGCCCCGGGCAGGGACACCTTCCACTAGAGCAGGTTGCTCCAAGCCCCTGTGTCCAACCTGCCCTTGAACACTGCCAGGGATGGGGCAGCCACAGCTTCTCTGGGCACCCTGTGCCAGCGCCTCAGCACCCTCACAGGGAAGAGCTTCTGCCTTGTATCTAACCTAAATCTAAGGAAAAAATTCTTGAACTAGCTTGTCACTAACTTTTTAAACAGTCAGTGCTTTAACGTGAACTCTGTCCAAGATCAGCACAGCAGGAGATGAACACACTGGAGGCAGGGTAATGAGCTGGGCAATCTTTTGACTGCTGTTATTCTTTAAGATTCTCCCCCCATTTAGTAATCAGCATATTTAACCTGGCCAGGTCATGGCTCCCTCAGGCTTTACAGCTATGGCAATTCATTTTGGTTGTAAGGACACACGCACTTGGACATATAAAACATGTGAAACTCTTGCTGTCACTTCATGACCAGAGAGAGGTCATGGGGTCTTTTATCTTGTCTCTGCTCCCAAGGAACAAGGGATGGGACAAGAGGAAACAGCCTCAAGCTGCACCAGGGCAGGTTTAGCTGGAGCTGAGGAACAATTCCTTGCCCAGAGGGTGCTCAGGCATTGGAACAGGCTGGCCAGGGCACTGCTGGAGTCACCATCCCTGCGTGTTCACACCCCAGGTAGACGAGGCCTCCGTGCCAGGGGTTAGTGGTGGCCTTGGCACTGCTGGGAACGGTTGGACTGGATGAGCTGAAAGGGCTTTTCCAGCCTGGCTGATTTTGTGATTCTATATTCTATTACAAGAGCAATGTCATCAAAACCAGTCTATTAATGTAGTACTACGGAGCGCTTCTAGAAGACCTTGATGATCCTTAATCTTTTAATTTATTACTTGATTTCTTATTTCCTACCAGCACTTGTTGAAAACTACATGAAATTCAAGCAATGAAGATGGTTTTGCACAGCCATCAGCAACTAAAATTACATTTAAAAAATACCAAAATGTGAAGTCCCGAAGTGCAGGAGTAGAACTAAAGTGGTGACAGGTTGATGCAACTTTAAAAACAGTGAAGCTAAACCATTACCATGGGATATGAGCAGCCGTAAACTCTCCAGCTTTCCATACTGAGCAGCAACAAAGAGCGGCGTAATTCCAAAGTCATCCTTACATTCCTTGCCTGCCCCTTTCTCCAGCAGCATTTGCATGATGTCAGTGCATTCCTGAAATAGATATTTGTATTCTTAAACAACAAAGCAGCAGGAAACTGACATAATCTCCTTTCCTCCACACATTCTAAGCAGAAATAAAAAGCAATACATTTCAATTCTAAAGATATACTGAAAATTTAATGGCAAATAATTAGACAAGTTTAATTTGATTTTTCCACATTTGCTCATTTAAAGGATACATACAAATGGAAATTAAATTACTAGAACCATTCATCTGTAAGCTTATAAGAGTCATGAACACATCCAGAAACAGGTCTTACATCTCACTGATGATGAGACACTAGACAGAACTCTTGGCAACATATCCTGTAAGAGATTCACTTCCCAAATCTAACAGGTAAGCTTGGGAGTACACGCAACATTTCTAATTAATTAATCAACACTGATTAAATAATGCTTCTAAATAATTACTGCTTCCCAACATCAGCATCTCCTGCAGTTTCAGCTCTACTTCAGTGCATCGCAAGCCCTCCAGCCTTTAGATCACACTCTGACTATAGGGCACGTTAGGAAAACCAGCTCTATATAGAGGCCAAGAAATACAGAAATGATCACCTGGAATACACCAGTTACATGGAAATTACATGATACACTTACAGGTTACCTGTAAAGAAGCTTGGTGCAAAGAATTCCACCCAGACAAGGAATGAGGTCCTTGAACATTCGCCCCATGTTGGAGCAGGAAGGTTACAGTGTCTGCATGGCCATTTTCAACAGCTGGGAATGGAACAGGAAAAAAGAGAACAAGAAATTCTTATTAAATGGATTTCAAGAGTTCCCTGAAAAACTCAAATGGTCTCACTGCTCACTTCCTGCCACCATAATCGTAACTCTTTTAAACTCAGCTTAAACTGAATTCTTTTAAACTCACCTTAAATATTTGCTTCCTTGCCTTTACATTTACAGCCCCAAAGCAGTGCTGGAGAATGGAAATTTACCTGCAGTGTTTTAAGTTAGAGGTGTGAAAACACCACCACCTCTGTGCTAACACAGGCAGTAGCAAGCTTCTCTCCTCCCTCTTTCCCGTGGAACACGCTGCTTCCCAAAGCAGTGCCTCTGGCTTGTAGTACTCAACATCCAACACAGAGCTGTGCCAGAACTCCATCAGTCTGCGCTAGCCTGACAAGAAACTTGGTCCTTTTTAATTCTCTCACAGATGCACAACCCCATGAGCACTCTTTGCCCCTGTCTAATCTACACACATAGTGTTACTTATCATTATCCAGTGCGCTTTTAATCACAGACTGGTTTGGGTTGGAAAGAACCTTAAGGTCATCTAGTTCCAACCCTCCTGCCACGGGCAGGGACCCAAGGCCCCGTCCAACCTGGCCTTGAACACCTCCAGGGATGGAGCATTCACAACTTCCTTGGACAACCTGTAATGATGATTTCCCCACAAATGCTACCTGCTACCAACTGTTTTAAGCCATTAATTATGTCAAACGTAAATCATAGGGAAAAATACTAAAATAATGGACCTTAACTGCTGAACTAGGACTTGCAGAAAGAATAAGAGGTGTTTTCACAGAAGAAGTAGGGAGGAATTAAAGGAAGACTTGAAACACCCTCATACAGATGTTGTCCTGTACCTCCTAGACCTTTTCTGTGCTAGAAAGAAAAGGTGGTGCAGAAGACCAATGTGGTTTCACAGTTTTGTTTTAACACATAGCCTGAAGCAGAGTAATTCCTAGTCCCGGCCCATCTCCAAGTCTAAAGCCTGGTATTTAGGCTACTAAAATACTGGTAGGCAGTGAGTGAACTCTGGTGAGTTTAAACTCAGGGAACAAGCTTTTCCCCACCCATTGAGTGCTCTGAGATTCCAAGAACGCTCGTGTCACCTAGGAACAGGGGGGTGGTTCTTTCAGTGGTAACCTCATTGGGGTCAGCCCCAGCCTCCAGGAGAACACGGACGCTTCCCAGAGAGCCACGGCGTGCTGCGAGGTGCAGCGCGGACATCCCTTCAAACGTCTTGGAGTTCACATAGTCATCAGATGGAGCTACAGGAGAGCAACGGAAGGGAAAAGCAGAAGTGTATTTACCAATGGATTACAAGACACAGTTCTTTTCTTCACATAACCCAGCTATTTGAGATCTGTGGCCTGCAGTGTATGCACAAAAGTGTTGTTATCAGCTCTTCCAAGCAGTGGTGTCAGTTATTGCTGGCCCTACGCAGATAACAGCTCTGGACAGAGAAGACACAGTAAAATCAAGTGTCACTCTCAGACTACAAGGTGCCCATTTCTCTTTACCACAGTGAGTCAGAACCTAGGAAACCACATACAAATTTACAAGCCAACTAAGAATATGGTAACAGAAATCTATTTTCTAGGGCAGGGTAATTTAGCAGAAAACCACAGGATTTCACACCAAGTTTTCCTCACCTGCACGAACGAGCAGCCTCAGACATTCACTTGAATCACGAGCTGCTGCTTCATGGATTGGCACCCAGCCCCTGTTATCGGGAACGTCAATGCTGTACCCCTGCTTGATGAGTTTCCTCAGCACTTTAACGTTCCCCTCTCTGGCCGCCAGCCCCACGGCTGAACACCGATCCGAGTAGGCTTCCGTGAAATCCATCCCTGCCTTCGCCGAGCTCTGCGGGAGGAAGAAAGGGGAGGAGAGGAGGGGAAAGAGGCGCCCGTCAGCACCGCATATGTATGAGGTCCTTTTGGTTTGCTTTGCAGAGGTTTGGGGGGGCAATAGGTACCCAGCGGCTCCCTGCTCGCAGGGACG